TCGGGCCACCCTTGGGTCAGGACCCAGGCGTCCAGGGCAGCGGGGGGGTGGGGCTGCAGCGTGGGGGCCTTGTTAAGGCCCCAGAATGAGGGTGGGGGTAGGGAGGCGACAGGCCCAACAGGTTCTGCTTCATTCCTGTCCCGCCTCTCACTTCCTGGGTGCCTGCCCAGGGCAGGGGTGGACAAGATGAACCCCAAGGCCTCAGAGTGCCTGGGTGGGGCAAGGCCTGCCTGGCAAGGACTTGCTCCTGCTAGACACCCTGACACTCAGGCCTGAGAGACAAGAGGAGCCTGGGTCCTTCTGTGGGCCAAGACCCCTTCCTGCTTCTGTGCCCAGCTCTGGATGCAAAATCTCATCCATTATTCACCTAATCTCCATAATGCCACTATGAGCTGGACATAACTCTCCCCCATTTTCAGGTGGGAAAACAGACCTAGACAGCAAGGAGAGCAGAGGCAGGATCTGAACCCAGGTCTCGGTATGCCAGCCAAGACTGCCAGCCAGCACACCAACCGCCTTCCTTTTTCTCTCTAAAAATGGTACATGTCGGGTGAAGTATGAACCTGGGCCCCCAGGAGGCTCGACTCAAGGGGGCATGCGCCCAGCTTGCTCTGAGTCAAAAGGGGCCCCTGGATGAAATGAATAAGAAAACGGCTTTAACCGTTTCATCGCCATGAGAGGCTCTGCCAAAACTTCCTGTGGGCTGTGGGGGAAGGGCCGAGGCTGGGTTCCCGGAGGCCTGGTGGGGGGAGGCTGCCAATTCAAGAGGGGAGGGGAACCCCTAGTGACCTTGGCTAGGGCCGATAGGGGATGACATCCCCTCTCCACCCCCCCCTCCGTTAGAGGGGAACCCCCTTCCCCAGAGCAGGAGGTCCCCAGGTTTTGGTTCTCAGCCCCCTTCCCTTTGAGGGGGTCTCAGAGTCCGCAGCCCCCCTCCCCAGGGGCCTGAGTCACACCAGGGGAAAGCCAAGAGGGGTGAGTCATGGGGGCAGGAAAGGGGTAGCAAGGTCCGCTGCGGCCAGGGGACCACCAGCCCGGCCTGAGTCACAGGCCGGGCCTCGCCGACCCCAACCCCCTTCCCTGGAGACCGGGAGCGGGAAGCGCGTGATCTGCCGACCAGGGAGCCGGAGGAAGCGCAGGAGCGGAGGACACAGGGCGAGCGCCCGTCTGGAGGAAAGCTCCAGTTCCCATGGTAACCGGAGGGGGGGGGTCTCGGTTCGACAGGGGTTCCTCCCGCGGCAGGGACGGCCCCCAGGCGCGGGGGGAGCCCCTGCGCTCCGTCGAGGGGCCTCGAGTTTCGGGTCGGGCAGGAAGGGGTTAACGGCGCCCCCCTCCCGGGCTTCACCCGCGCCCGGAGCCCCGAGGCCCGGGTGGGGCCGGGCTCTGCCCCGCGCGCCCAGCAGTCGCCCCCGCACGCGCACACTCAGCCAGCCCATCCCTGTTCCCCGCGCTCGCTCGCACGCACGACCGCGTCGGGCTCCACGCACGCAGCGATCCCCGTCGTGTCTCACGTCACGCACGACGCACGCGCCCCCGCAGCCGGGGCGGGAGCCTTCCCAGCAGAGCCGGGCAGGACGCAGCGCGCCCGGCCCCGTGTGCGCACATCGCGTCCCCACGGAGCGCCGTGTCCCGTGACTTGAGCGCGCCCCCCAGCAAGGTCATAGCCCGTCCACGGCCCCCCGCCCCCCGCTCCCCGGGACGGGAGACACGGCCACGCGGTGGCAACGCCGTCAGAGCCCAGGCAGCCCTGCAGCGGACGGGATGGGGTCACAGAGACACAGACACACCTGGCACCCACCGTTTGTGGTGGGGACACAGACGGGCACTCTGACAAAGCCACACCATCACCATCAAGACAAAGTAAGGCACGCCCTGGCTGGTTTGGTTCAGTGGCCAGAGCGTCAGCCTGCGGACTGGAGGGTCCCGGGTTCCATTCCTGATCAGGGCACATGCCTGGGTTGCCGGCTTGATCCCCGGTGGGGGCTTGCATGAGGCAGCCGATCAATGATTCTCTCTCATCATTGATGTTTCTATCTCTCTCCTTCCTTTCTCTCTGAGATCAATAAAAATATATATTATATATATTTTTTAAAAAGACAAAGTAAGACACTAAGTCTTGGACATGGAGACCCATGAGGGTCATGCTGTCATAGGGTCATTACAGACAGGGCTCATGAAGTCAAGTAGGGACAAACCCAACGGCCACATCCAGTGACATCCATATTATTGTGGGGACATGGACAAGCCAAGGACACATGAGAGGATCACACTGTCACAGAAAGATATATGATAGAAAGTAGGACACATTCACACAGAAACACAACCTAAAACCACATTGAGGTACTGGTTGTCACATACTTCTCACACAAAGAAAGACATAGGTATATAGACACAAAGCAAGGTCTCAATAGAGAGCATGTACCCCAGCCCCTGACAGCCCCCTCCCCCCCATCCCACACAGAGATAGCCTGTTGCATAAAATTCCCAGGGCTCCAAGACATACCAAGACACACACCTACATGTGCATACAATCACAAACCCACCATCTCATACCTACAAAATGTGAGCACGCTTTACATGGACTCAGACATACAGACGTGAGGAGGGGGACAAGATGGAAGTTTCTGGAGCGATGTGTCTGGAGTGCAGAGCGCCTGTCAGAGTCCCCCATGGTATGTGGCATGGTGTCCACCTTATAGCTGTAGTCAGCCCTGGGGGAAGGGCACCATCCTCCAATTATACGATCCCAGGGTCCCCATCCCAGCCCTCATGACTGGGTCTCTGCCCAGATGTGAAGGCTGGAGGGTGCGGGCGGGGGTCCAGCTGTGGCCACAGGGAGGGGTTGAGTCACCAGCTTCCCAGCAATACTTCACAGGCTGGGCCCAGCTGTTCCTGGAAACAGAAGGGGGTGGGGTCCCCAAACTAGCTGGGGGCTGCTGGCCCAGACCTGTACACTCTGTCCCTATGAAATGGGGGTCTCCAGACCATCCCCACATTTGGGGGACTTCCCCCACCAAAAGTGGGGTGTTGCATCCTTCCCCCAAATACAGAGCCCCTGCCACAAAATGAGGGCTTTTGACCTCTTTCATTGATCCCCAACAGTATGACTCCCTGCATCCCATTATAGCAATCACTGCTCTTCTCTGCCAACGTTGGAGCTCCCTTGCACCCCAAACATGAGATTCCTGCTGCCCCAAATGGAGGGTTGTGGCTCCTCACCCAAATTGATGGCACACGGACCTTTCTTTAAATATGGGGATCCAGGTCACTTGTTGTCTAGAATGCCCATCCTATCACATCAGCATTAGAACAATTCAAGACCATGCTCCAAATATTTGGATTCTCGGATTCCTCTTAAACATCAAGATCTCTGCGGCTTTTGTGAACATTGGGGACCCCAACCTAAATATATGGTGATTCCAGTATGTCCCCAAACATTAGGCAACCAGGTCCTCTCACCAACACTCCCACCCTCCAGCCCCCATCCTCGTTCAGCAACAGCCCTAGTTCCTGGCTCATCTTCCACTTCTACCCGGGGCCAGGATGGCCCATTTCCCCCTATTGGCGGCACCCTTCCCCCCGGTGGGTGCGGGATGCCGGAGCCAGCCTCAGCGGTTCCCACGCCCGCCGGAAGGCCGCCCGGTCCGGAAGCCAGCACAGCCTGCGGGCCCCGGTCCCCTTCCCCCAGCTCCCCCTCCCACCCTAACCCCCCCCCCTCCCCCAGCTCCCAGGGGCTGGAGGCTGAAAACAACACAGGAAGGGGACGTGGGGGTGTGGACGAGCCTCCGAGTGGGTGCGCGCGGCTGCGCATCTCAGTGGGCCGGGACCGCGTGTCTGGCGGCAGAGTGCGTGTTTGTGCGAAGCGGCGTGGGGGCTGCGGTCATCCTGCCGAACCCGCTCCGCGGCAGGGCTGGCGGAGCCGGACTCTGCGTTGCCGGGATCAGCGCCCCTCCCCTCAGACCTAGACCCAGCCCCGAAGCAGAGCCCGCCCTCCCCTCCGGGTACAGCTAATAACCTCTAATTACTGCTCGTTATGCCGCCCGCCCCGGGGGGAGGGGCTTTCGGAGAACTCGGGCGTCGGCGGGCGCCGGCTCTACCGCTCCTCCCGAAGCCGCTCCACCCAGCGCCTGTTTCCCCGCCGGTGAACCGAGAATTAAAACACCACTTGCCATCTAGAGTCCCGGGGAGATTCCAGCCGCTTACATACGAAAATCGCGGAGCGCAGGGACTGTATACTGTAGGCACTCAATAGATGGTGGCTGCGATTGTATTGTTAACTGCTCTGGTTCTTTCCTTTGAGCCCCCGCCCTAGGCCGCCTTCCTGCGGCCTGAGCGCCCCCTGGTGGGCGCGGGGACCCGGGCGGCCTGGCCTGGGCTTTGAGACCCGAGGACCCCTGCCCGGAGCTCGGGAAGGTGAAGGTGCGGGGAAGCCCCGTGGAGGACGGATCCAGGCTGCGCAAGTGTGTTTGTCCATCACCACCAGGACGTTGTGTCTGGCTAAATCACCCTGTCCTCGACCTAGGACCACATCCATGTCCCCTTAACCACCCCGGGCAAGACTCCCGAGGCACCTCCATCAGGAAGACAGACAGACCCCTCTGAGACCCCCCGCTCCAGGTCCAAAGGATGTGTAATGGCTGCCCCTTCCCCGCGCAGACAGCAGGATTTCTCCCGGCCGAAGGGAAGCTGAGGCACGATCCTGAGGTCCCCGCTATTCCCCCTCAGTCCCCCCTCTAAAGAGCAGGGTGACACCGGAAGCGCAAGGTTGGCGCAGACTGACCCCTAGCGGCAGGGCGGGCGCCCGAACGCTGCCCGGAACCAAGATGGCAGCCTTGGAGGCCTGAGAGGGCGCCGCGAGGCGATCACGTGTCTGGGGCGGGGCCTGACGCCTAGGGGGCGGGGCGGGGCGGCGCTCTAGGCCGAGCGGGAGGTCGAGGTTGCGGGCGCTCGCTGGTGGCGGACCTGGAGGAGGCTGCGGTGGCCGGGCTCCGCGGCCGGGGTCGAATCCGATCGGGAGCCATGAGCGTGGACAAGGCCGAGCTATGTGTGTCTCTGTTCACCTGGGTAGGTCGGGGGTGGGGCCGGGGCAGGTGAGCGCCCGTTCTTGCCGCCCGGGGGCCCGGCCTTGGCTCGGCTCACCTTTCGTCCTGGGGCTGGGAGGAGGAAGGGGGTCGTCGGCTTGCTGGGCCGTTGGACTCTGGCCTGAGCACCCGCCCCTGTCACGTAGAAGGGCTGCGTGGACAGGACAGGTGAGGTCCCGCCCCTTCGTTACTGGGTCACGTGGGGCTGGGGCACAGGTGAGCTGGCCTCGTGACCCGTCGCCTGTGGGAGCAGGTGATTTGGTTCCGCCTTCGCTTGGTCGCGGGAGGTTGGTGGGACGGAGGTGAAGTGAGGCCACGCCCCCTTCGGTCCCAGGTGAGCAGAGGTCACTCCCCCAAGGACCTGGCTTGTGGAGCAACAGGCCAGCTCCTGTTCAACCGTGCAAGCTCAGCTGTGTGAAGTTCACGCTGACCGACAAAGTCTGCAAAGGGGAGTGGCTCAGTGACCCAGGCCCTGACGCTGCCTTGTGCTCTGCTCTTCCCCACAGTTGCAGACGTTCCCCGTCCCATCCCCCTGTGCCAGCCCCCAGGACCTGAGCAGTGGCCTGGCCATAGCCTATGTGCTGAACCAGATGTGAGTGAGGCTGAGGGGGAAGGCCCCAGAAAGGTCTCCCAGCAGCTCATTCCACCTTCTCACCTCCAGAGAACCTTCCTGGTTCAACGAGGCCTGGCTCCAGCGCATCTCAGAAGACCCAGGTCCCAACGGGAGGCTGAAGGTGATAGGTGGACTCTCCTGGGTTCAGACTGGTGAAGAGATGATCAGAGAAGGGTCAGATAGACATATTTCCTGGGCGGTGGACAGACAGACCTGGTTAGGAAGAGGGATAGATGTCTGGTGGTCAGCCAACTTTATTCCATTCGTCTATGGAGCAGGCCTGGGCATGCAACAAGGAATAACAAAAACCTGCACGCACAAACATAAATGTTGACTTCCAGTGGCAATATGTTGTGTGAAGACAATAAAGCAGGCCAGGAGTGAGAACAGCTGAGGGTTGGTGGACAGTCACTCCAGATTGGCTGATCTCCGTGTAACATTTGGGGGAATGGTATTCCAGGCTAGGGAACAGCAAGTGCAAAGGCTCTGAGTTGGGAGTGAGCTTGGTGTGACTGAGGAATGGTAGAGGAGTCTGAACAGGAAGCAAAGGATGGTATGTGAGAGCATCAGGGGCCCGGTGGGCTGGGGCAGGGAGGTGGATTCTAAGTGCCGTGCAAAGCCAAGGAAAGGTTTTAGAAAAGGAAAGACCAACCTGGCTTGGGCTTGAAAAAGCTCCCCCTGACTGTTTCCAGAGGAATGGAAAGTGGAAGCTGGGGTAGGGCTGATGCAGTAATTCAGGGAAGAGATAACAGTGGCTGGGGCCAAAGGGTGGTGGAACAGATGGTGATAAGTGATTGGATTCTGGGGACATGGGAACAAGATGAGCAGGTGGATAAAAAAGGCAGGCAGGCAGGCAGGCCAGGCCTAGGAGAAGGGACATTCAGACGGAGAATGAGGCCAAACAGGATGAGATGACCAGGGATTGGCAGGGGAGGTGGAAAAAAAAAAGGATGGGGTAGATAGATTCAGGGTGAGGGTTGCCTGGCCCCTTCTGGGGGGGCTCTGGGACTCTGGAGGGGGGCAGCCTGTAGGGTGGGATTATAGGAGAAATGGCTTTGGGGACAGGAGGATGGAGAGGGTGTCAGGGTGGATCATGGAGGCCTTGAAGGCTGCCCTCAGAGGGCCCGGCTCATCTCAGCGCCACCCCATTTCCCTCCAGCTCATGATCAAATTCCTTGTCTCTCCTCAGGTCAGCAATCTGAAGATAATCTTACAGAGCCTGGTGGAGTACTCCCAGGATGTGAGTAACTATAAAGGGATTTAGGGGGTTGTATTGGGAGGCGGAGAAGAGTCTGTGAGCCCCTGACACTCACCCACCCACCCACTCCCCCTCCCACCTGTCCTCAGGTCCTAGGACATCCCATTTTGGAGCAGCACCTCCCAGATGTGAGCCTCATTGGCCAGTTCTCAGACCTTGGAGAGCTCGGCAAGCTGCTTCAGCTGGTGCTGGGCTGTGCCATCAGTTGCGAGAAAAAGCAGGGTATGGGGGTTAGGGGGTCCCTAGGGGAAAACCCGAGGAAATCCTCCTCCCCAATCTCAGTCTCCTCAACCTTGACCCCCAGAGCACATCCAGAGGATTATGACGCTGGAGGAATCGGTTCAGCATGAGGTGATGGCAGCCATCCAGGAGGTAGGAGGGGGGTGCCCAACATGGCAAGGAGCTGCAGGGGAGGGCACGTCTCTGGGGCAGAGGCAAGTGGCCACAGGCTCTGCCCTGGAGAGGTCGGGCCTTTGCCTGGAACTCAGCTGGCCGGATTTCCCTGTCTCATATCTGCCAGCCCCTCCCAGCTCTAAGTCACAGTCAAAGGGCCAGTCTTCTCTCTGTGTTGGACTCATGGCAGGGGGCAGCCTGTAGGGCGGGATTATAGGGAGAAATGGCTTTGGGGACAGGAGGATGGAGAGGTTCTCAGGATGGATCATGGAGGCCTTGGAGGCTGCCCTCAGAGGGCCCAGCTCATCTCAGCGCCACCCCATTTCCCTCCAGCTCATGGTCAAAGACACCCCTGATGCCTTGTCACAGGAGACCTATGGGAACTTTGACAGCCAGGTAAGGGGTGGGGCACCTGGTTAGGGTACCAACCCCATTACTGATTCTCTGAGCTGCCTGAGTAGGAGGGGCTTGTGTTTGAGCCTGAAAACCACCCCCATCCCTCAGGGGCCTAGCCTCTTTTCCTGGGTACCCAGGATTCCCAAACGACCTTCCTCCAGGATCCTGAGGTCCCAGCTTTCTCCTAGATCCTGAGGGTTTCTTGAATCCCTCCTCTCTGCCCCTAGAGATCCCAGCCTCCTTCCCCAGTCTCCTCCCCTCCATTCCTGAGTTCCTTGCCGCCCCCCTGTCAGTCCCGCAGGTACTACTTCCTGAGCGAGGAGGCTGATGAGGGGGACGAGCTGCGGCAGCGCTGTCTGGACCTGGAGCGGCAGGTGGGGCTGAGGTGGGGACAGGTGCTTCTAGGGCAGGGTTATCTTGCATAGCCCCCTTCTCAGCTCTAGCTCACTGCACCCCCTGCCCACAGCTGGTGCTCCTGTCAGAGGAGAAGCAGAGCCTGGCGCAGGAGAACGCAGTGCTGCGGCAGCGGGTGGGCCAGCCAGAGGGCGAGGTCGCCATGGGCCTCACTGCCAAGAAGCTGCTGCTGCTACAGTCCCAGCTGGAGCAGCTGCAGGAAGAGAACTTCAGGTGTGGGCTGCTGGGGTTGGGGCCAGGCAGGTCAGGGGGTTGGGGTGGGTGTGGCTCCCTCACATGCCCACCCCCACCCCCCAGGCTGGAGAGCAGCAGGGAGGATGATCATCTGCGGTGTGTGGAGCTGGAGCGGGAGGTCACTGAGCTACAGCAGCGGAACCAGGCCCTGACCAGCCTGGCCCAGGAGGCACAGGCCCTGAAGGATGAGATGGATGAACTGCGGTGAGTGGTGGGTCTCTGGGTCCCCACCACACACCCCCATTGCCAGAGTGTCCCTCTGATGCCACAGTATCTCTGTAACCCTGAAATGCCCAGTAGACCCCCATAATGCCCTCTAGACTCCATGCCATCCTAAACCCCACTGCCCTGTTCTGGACTCTGCCACGTTCTCTGGATATCACCAAGCCCCCTGGATCCATGGTGTCTCCCAGGACCCACCCAGTGTCCCCCTGTTATCCCATGTCGTATCACCCAGACCTCATAGCATCCCTGTGATCACAGCAAGCCCAGGGCCCCCCACAATGCACCCCATTTCCCACTACCTCATTCTGGGTCTTACCTCATTTTTTTAGAAAGAGAGAGAAAGAACATCAAAACATCAATGTTTGTTCTTCTGCTCATTCATGCTTTCACTGGTTGTCCTGACCGGGGATCAAACCTGAAACCTTGGTGCGTCAGGACGATGCTCTAACTGAGCGATCTGGCCAGGGTCCCCCAGCCCATGCCTCAGGATCCATGGTGCCCTCCAGGACCCCGCAGTGCAGCAATCTTGCCATCCCTTGTAATTCCCATTGTGCCCCCCATGACAGGACTCTACGTGACTCCACAGTACCCTGGCAACCCCTTTGTGCTTAGTGGGCCCCCACAGCACTCACCCCCTCCCTCGACCTCACTGTGCCTTCTGTAACCTCAAAGGGCTCCCCCGGGGCCCCACTTCTGTAATGTTAAAGTAAGTTCAAGGATCTCAGTGCTCTGGCCCCAAAGCTCTCCCGTGGCCCACCATCGCCCCTGCACCCACAGTGCTCACATCAGCCCCTCAGTCACCTCATGACTCCAAAGTGTCCTTGGGGCTCCTCCATCCCTCTGGGCCCCCATCATTTTCCCTGTAACCCCACAACCATTCTGTGTCCCCACCACGGTGCCACCACTGAGCATCCCTGATTATGACCCTGGCTAGCATTGACACTTAGGCTCCCTTTATGCCCCCTAAAAACTCCCAACAGTACCAGGACCATGATCTTCAAGACCCACCATCTCTAACTCAAATGCCCCCAGGCCGACATGATCCCTTCTGCCTTGAGGGTGTTGTGTCCAAGCTAAACCCTGACTTCAGATCCCAGCCACCTCTCCCACTTGCCCCCTCCCCCAGACAGTCCTCGGAGCGTGCTGGGCAGCTAGAGGCCACGCTGAGCAGCTGCCGGAGCCGCCTGGGAGAGCTCAGGGAGCTGCGGAGGCAGGTGCGGCAGCTGGAGGAGCGCAACGCTGGCCACGCAGAGCGCACGCGGCAGCTGGAGGAGGAGTTGCGCAGGGCTGGCTCGCTGCGCGCCCAGCTGGAGACGCAGCGGCTGCAGGTGCAGCAGGGGCTGGGGTGCCTGGGGGCCTGTACCTGTATCTGGGCCCTCACGGCTCACTCCCTTCACTTTGGGGACCCTCACCCTCACGTGGTGCTCAGCCCCTTAGAGATGAGTGGTCTCTATTGTTTATATATATGGTCACGCCCTTTAGGCAGGCCAGCTGCTCTCTAGGTTTTGGGCCTTGCTCCTTATCTGAAGCTCAGCCCCTCCAGTTCTTTGAGGCTGGGTCCTCTGGCCCTGCCCCTTCACCTTAACACCTTAAAAAAAATTAAAAAAAAAAAATTCAGAGAGGAAGGGAGAGGGAGAGATAGAAACATCAATGATGAAAGAGAATCATTGATTGGCTGCCTCCTGCATGTCCCCACTGGGGGGGATTGAGCTCGCAACCCAGGCATGTGCCCTGACTGGGAATCGAACTGGGGCCTCCTGGTTCAGAGGTCGACACTCAACCACTGAGCCACGCCGGGCACCCTTTTTTTTTTTTTTTTTTAATCCTCACCTGAGGACATTTTTGCCATTGCTTTTCAGAGATAGTGGGAGGGAGGAAGGGAAGACGGGAGAGAAACATCGATGTAAGAGAGACACATCGGCCGATTGCCTCCTGCACATGCCCCAACGGGAGGCAGGGAGCATCTTGCAACCCAGTTATGTGCCCTTGACCGGGAGTCAAACCTGAGCCCCTTTAGTGCTGGGGCCGATGCTCTAACCACTGAGCCACCAGCCAGGGCCCTGCCCTTTACCTTGAACTCAGTCCCTGCCCCTCTTCCACTCTGCCAGCCTTACACCTCCCCCTGTTCAGGTTCAGGAATTGCAGAGCCAGCAGCAGGAGGAGGCCATGAAGGCTGAAAAATGGCTATTTGAGTGTCGCAATCTGGAGGAAAAGTATGAGTCGGTAACAAAGGAGAAAGAGGTGAGGCTGAGGTCCTACCACACCTGCCCCCCCCCCCCCCCGTCCATCATGGGGTAGCCTGCTCGAGTGGGCCTCAAGTGGAGTCTTGCACCCCTTCCCTCCAGCGGCTGTTGGCCGAGCGGGACTCACTGCGGGAGGCCAATGAGGAGCTGCGCTGTGCCCAGCTGCAGCCTCGGGGACCGAGCCAGGCTGGTGAGTCTGGGGCCCATCCCGGGATCCTGGGAGTATGTGTGGCCTGGGGTGCTGTTAGGCAGGCAGAAAAGGCAGTGCCTCGGGGCCTGTCTAGGCTGGGAGCAGAACTGGGTCCTGCTGGAGAGACACTAGGGGGGCAGGTGATAGGCCGACAGAAGGCGGGAGCTGTCCTCTTGAGCTCAGGGTGGGCCAAGCATCACGGCTCCTTGCCAGGCTGGAGGTAATGGTGGGGGCTTATGTCAGGCCAGGCTTTTGTCTGCACTTGAGCCCTCAAAGATGGTTCTTGGCCCCAGCTGGTTTGGGTCAGTGGATAGAGCATTGGCCTGTGGACCGAAAGGTCCCAGGTTCGATTCTGGTCAAGGGCACGTACCTCGGTTGCAGGCTCCTCCCCGGCCCCGGCCCCTGGTTGGGGCTCATGCAGGAGGCAACCAATCCAATCGACGTATTTTCTCACATCAATATTTCTCTGTCTTTCACTCTCTCTTTCACTCTCTAAAAACTAATGGGAAAATATCCTCGAGTGAGGATTAAAAAAACAAACAAAAAAAGATGATTCTTGGACTGAGGATCTTAAGGATGGGAGTGGAGGCTGTGCAGCTACCTGAAACGTTTCTCACATTCTCCAGACCCCTCGCTGGATCCTACCTCACCGGCTGTGGAAAACCTGGCAGCAGAGATCCTACCTGCAGAGCTCAGGTATCCTGGGGTCACTCAGAACTTTGGCCACACCCTAGCCTGCCAGTGCCCACCCTCAGCCCCGTCCCCAGTGCAAGCACCTGCCATAACCCAGCCAGCTCAGTTCCCAAGTCCTACCTGGACTCCTAGGCCCACCCACTCCTCATTCTGCTCTTCCCTTTCGGGGGCTCTAGCCCTATTGGCAGCTTGCCTCTCCAGGATCCATCCTCAGTGCACAAAGCAGGTCCAACCCATCTGGCTCCACTGGCCACACAAAAACCCCTGCCCCAGCCCTGCCCATATTGGGTTCTGCTCCCAGGGCACAGCCCTGAACTCAGTGTCGCTTCTGCTAATTCAGTGCCCTGTGCCCTGCCCAGATGGGCTCTCCCATCGCAGCTCTTCCCATTCCTGCGTCTTCCTTCCCCACAGCCCCTTCCCTACGTGTTCAAACCAGTTCCTGTATCCCCTCCCTCGCCCAGCATCGCCTCTAGGCCAGCTCCTAGGCCGGCCCACTTTGGTCCCCAGAGCTCCACTCAGAATACCTAGGCCCGGTCCCCAGGACTCTAGAGGTGCTCTAGGGTCTGGCCGGGCTCCTCCCAGGGCCCTGTCCCTTTCCTGGTCCCCTCCGCCAGCTGCGGGGTGACTGGTCCCAGCAGCGTTCACTCCCTGGGGTCTGCTCCGCAGGGAGACGCTCCTGCAGCTTCAGGGAGAGAACAGGCGCCTGTGCCAGCAGGAGGCGGCCGACCGGGAGCGGCAGGAGGAGCTGCAGCGCCACCTGGAGGAGGCCAACCGTGCGCGCCACCAGCTGGAGACGCAGCACCGGTGAGCGCGGTGGAGGGTGGGGGAGGAAGCGGTGGAGACCTGCGGCCAGGCACTGAGCGGCCACCTACCCCGCAGGCTGAACCAGCAGCAGCTATTGGATCTGCGGGTCCAGGTGGAGGACCTACAGAAGGCACTGAAGGAGCAGGGGGGCAAGAGCGAGGACGTGAGTGCCCACCTCCTTCCTGCCTGGCCCTCCCTCCTGTCCCCTAATAACCCTCTTTTCTTTCCCCACCTGCTGCCCGATGCCCCATGCAGTCCATTGTAAGTACCATGGGCCCCCGGGTGACACCTCTATGCTCTCCCCAGAAAAGGGCTGGGACCTCTGGACCCCACTGACCCCACCGTCTTCTCTTCCCTAGCCCGCCCTACTGAAGAGGAAGCTGGAGGAGCATCTGTGAGTCCCAGAGGGATGGCTCTCCTAGTGGTGGGGGCGGCTGGGGCAAAGGTGTGGTGGATGGGGAGGTGTCATGGAGAGTCCTCGGTGAGGTGAACCAGATTGCAAAAATGCAGACTGAAAGTTCGGATCTAGTGGGGCCTTAAAGGCCACGGGAAGCAGTAAAGACTCTTTTGGGGGAGCAGCGGAGAAACCACAGAGAGAATTTCATCAAAGTAGTCTCACTTTGCTGAAAGCGATAGTCATCTTTTACTTTTTTTTTTTTTAAATATATTCCACTGATTTTTTACAGAGTGGAAGGGAGAGGGACAGAGAGTCAGAAACATCAATGAGAGAGAAATATCGATCAGCCGCCTCCTGCACACCTCCCCACTGGGGTGGGGATGTGCCCGCAACCAAGGTACATGCCCTTGACCGGAATCGAACCTGGGACCCTTGAGTCTGCAGGCTGACGCTCTATCCACTGAGCCAAACCAGTTAGGGCCATCTTTTACTTTTTACATTATTAAAAAAACTATTTTAAATAGTGATCACATTTATAGTTTAAAAACCAAAATGTATACCTCCAGTGTCCCCTCCTCCCCCCACAACCCCCACCCCGACTCATTTTCCACCCTATTCTACCCCCATTCCTATTAGTTTATTATGGCAATCCCTCCAGAGGATTTTTCCTTTTCTTTTTTCAGTTACAGTTTTGCATTCAGTATTATTTTGTATTCGTTTCAGGTGTACAGCATAGGGGTTAGACAATCATTTATTTTATAAAGTGTTTCCCCTCAAGACTTTTTAAAGCAAATACAAACAAATATGAATATTGATTTTAATTTTCAGTCCTTATTTACACAAAGGTGGTATAATATGTGCTAGTCTGTACTTGCTTTTCCTATTTAAGATGACAGAGAAATTTCTCCAAATAAATCATCATTATTTTTTATAAATATAGCAGCCTGGTCCTGGCCAGGTGGCTAAGTTGGTTGGAGTGTCATCCTGTGCACCAAAAGGTTTTGGGTTCAATTCCTGGTCAGGGCATGTATGGGAGGCAACCAATCAATATTTCTCTCTTCTCTCTCCCCTTCCTCTCTCTAAACTCAACAAACATACCCTTGGATGAGGATAAATATATATATACGCAGCGGCCTGCGTCAGCTGGGTTTCCTTGGGGAACCTAGGCCTTACTGACAACGATTTGGGTGGTGGCTTTCTCCGTTCTGACCAAGGATGGAATGTAGCTGCGGCTCATGCCGAGCACAGAACAAGTCATTTCCTTACAGAGGCCGGATACTTGGAGGCGTTGGAGCTTAATGCTCCTTAAAATTCTGGGCCAGAAGGGCTGGTCTGTAGCATTTTCTGTGACGATCACAGTGTATTTAACTTGTTCTTTCTAGGTATTTACAATTTCAAACAAGGCAACCGAGTGTAAAACCTTGCATATGCATTGTTTCACCTGTGTGCAAATATGTCACAGAAGTGGAACTGGTGACTCAGAGGGCACATGCCTTTGTAATTTTAGTAGATGTAGCTATTAGGTGTTATACTATGTTTCACGTTCAATGCACAATAACAGTGTCACCTCCAGGGAGTGTTATTAAATCTTTTGTGTTTTGCCACTGGTGGCAAAGGGCACTAAACCTAGGTACAACTTGTAGTTTGCATTTCCTTTTGTTACAAGAGATTTGCATTCTAGAAAGATCACTGGCTGTTGGGTGGAGCTTGGAATTGAGGGGTTGAGAGTAGAACAATCCCTCTAGAGCAGCCGTGGGCAAACTACGGCCCGCGGGCCGGATCCGGCCCATTTGAAATGAATAAAACTAAAAAAAAAAAAAAGACCGTACCCTTTTATGTAATGATGTTTACTTTGAATTTATATTAGTTCACACAAACACTCCATCCATGCTTTTGTTCCGGCCCTCCGGTCCAGTTTAAGAACCCATTGTGGCCCTCGAGTCAAAAAGTTTGCCCACCCCTGCTCTAGAGGGTAGTGGTGGGTAGTGGTGGCTGGATCAGAATGTGAGGTGTGAAATAGAAGTGGACAGATGGGGGGCTGGTCTAAGGGCCACCTGACTAGGGGTCTGGAGGGTTGTGGTTCTGGTGGCAGAGGAGGCAGTGGGGCCAGAGCACACAGCCGCTGTGCTTGGGAGGCAGGCGGAGAGGCCTCTGTAGCTGGGCAGGGACACTTCCGCTGGGAATGCCTCGGTTGCCACCACCGCTGCTTGTCCCCTGCCCACAGGCAGAAGCTGCATGAAGCGGATCTGGAGCTGCAGCGGAAGCGCGAGTACATCGAGGAGCTGGAGCCACCCAGCGAGGGCAGCAGTGAGCCGTGCTCCACAGCCGGTGGGTGGGGGGGACCTGAGCTTGGCGTGCACCTGAGGGGCCACTTTGTTCCCCCAGCAGATCGGCGAATCGAGGAGCTTCAGGACAGCCTGCAGAAGAAGGACGCAGACTTGCGGGCCATGGAGGAGCGGTACCGCCGCTATGTAGACAAGGCACGCACGGTGAGGATGTTGAGTGACCTCCTGTCCAGCCTGCTGCCTCCCGCTGGGTCACGCCTCTCACAGTTTGCACAGCTCTGCCCCCATGCCCAGGCCTGTCATACCCCGTTATGTCACAGACTTTTACACCATAGCCATGAGTTGTCACACTCAACACACTCCACTGTGTCCAACAACCTGTGAAGCCAGGGTCACCTTGGCTGTATCTTTCCCAACCCCTAGGTCATACAGACCCTGGAACCAAAGCAGCGGCCACCTGGGGGGGTGCTTCCGGAGCTCCACACCTTGAGGACACAGCTCCGGGAGCGGGAAGTCCGAATCCGACACCTGGAGGTGGGTGCCCGCATCCCTCCTCACTGCCCCCAGCATGTCCAGGCCCTTGACTCTTGCATCCTTGGCAGATGGACTTTGAGAAGAATCGAAGTCAGCGGGAGCAGGAAGAAAAGTTGCTCATCAGTGCCTGGTATAATATGGTGAGTGCACCAGCACCAGCGCCAGCGCTGGAGTGTCGGGGCATCCCCTGGGCTCATCTAATGCCAGCCACACCCCTCTCTCCAGGGCATGGCCTTACAGCAGCGAGCAGGGGAAGAGCGGGCGCCTGCACATGCTCAGTCATTCCTGGCACAGCAGCGGCTGGCTACCAATGCTCGCCGTGGACCCCTGGGACGCCTAGCGTACTTGAACATGCGCCCTGCTGACAAGCATTGATGGACCTCAGGATCCTGCCCACCTGCCCAGCCAGTCAGGGCTTAATCCTAGATCCCCCCAACTCCCCCAGGGCTCAGCGTCATGCCTGGGTCAGCTGCTTGAGAGCCTTGAGGTCATAACCTGTGCCTTTTGTTCTCCCTGGTGAGACAAGCTACAGGACAGGGCTGGAGGCAGGTACGGGTCTGTTCTTTTTAGCAATGTGATTCTTACCCTTAATATTCTTCCTGAGGCTAATGAGCTGCCAGGATAGAGAGAGTGATTTTATATTTGAGAAGAAAAATAATAAAGATTTTCAATCTTCCCTGGCTGGACTCTGGGCACTGAGGTGGGGGAGAAAATATGGGTCCAGGACTCAGACCACTGCTTTTTTTTTTTTTTAATATATTTTATTGATTTTTTTACAGAGAGGAAGGGAGAGGGATAGAGAGTTAGAAACATCGATTAGCTGCCTCCTGCACATCTCCTACTGGGGATGTGCCCACAACCCAGGTACATGCCCTTGACCGGAATCGAACCCGGGACCCCTCAGTCCGCAGGCCGACGCTCTATCCACTGAGCCAAACCGGTTTCGGCAGACCACTGCTTTTTAAGAAAGGCCTGGCTTGTGGTCTTACTAAAGTGTGAATGACTGATAGTACCCAGTGAGAGGTGAGAGTCATATTTGCGTTTGTGTAACTGTGCATGTGTGGTGGGTTTTAAAGAAGCTTCAGACAAAAATCCCTGCCTTATGAAGCCATTATTTCCAATGAAGGGAGACAGACAATAAAGGAAATAGATAAAAAAAAAATTTTTTAATATATATTTTATTGATTTTTTACAGAGAGGAAGGGAGAGAGATAGCTAGAAACATCGATGAGAGAGAAACATCGATCAGCTGCCTCCTGCACACCTCCCACTAGAGATGTGCCCGCAACCAAGGTACATGCCCTTGACCGGAATCGAACCTGGGACCTTTCAGTCTGCAGGCCGACGCTCTATCCATTAGGCCAAACCGGTTACGGCGGAAATAGATAAAATTTTATGTGAGAAGTGCAATAGAGAAAAATAAAGCAGACAGAAGTGATGGGGATGCAGGAGGTAGACTGTGATTAAAATTTTTTTTATAAGTATTTATTTGAGCCCTCGCAGGTTTGGCTCAGTGGATAGAGTGTCAGCCTGCACATGGAAGGATCCAGGGTTCCATTCCAGTCTAGGGCACATACCTTGGTGGCAGGTTCCCCGGTCCTGGTTGGGATGCCTGCAGGAGGCAACCAATCGATGTGTCTCTCACATCAATGTTTCTCTCTATCTCTCCCTCTCCCTTCCACTCTGTAAAAATCAATGGAAAAATATCCTTGGGTGAGGATTAACAACAATAGCAAAAGTAATAATAATTTATTGGAGCCAAATTGACAGCATGATGGGGAGCAAGATCTCAAATGCTCCAGGAAGTGGGGATTTTTAATAAAAGGCCAGCAAAAGAAGTCTAGCCAAGGAATTGATATAATTTAAGCAGAGACCTGAAGGTGAGTAAGGAAAGGGCCATGTAGGTATCTGGGGAAGAGCAATCCAGCCAGAGGGAACACCATGTCAAAGGCCCTGAGATGAGACCTTGCTGGGTGGGTTAGAGGGAGTGTGGAGTGAGTGAGGGGAAGGGAGGTTGCTCAGGGCCTTGTGAGCTGCAGAGAAGACTTGAGCTTTTATCCTAAGTGCGGTGGGAGTCACGGAAGCGTGTTATCTAATTTGGGTGTTCATAGGCTCCCCTTGGCTGCTGTGGGAGGAACTGATGGGGGGGTTAAGGCCAGAGCTGGGAGACTAGGGTGGAGGTCACTAGTCCAGCTGGGTGGGTGCATAACAGTGGTGGGGGCCCTAGAGGAAGGAGAAATGGTTGGAATCTGGATACAGTTTGAAGACCAAGCCGATGAGATTTGCTGCTGGGTTCGTGTGGAGGGTAAGAGAAAAGAGTTGAAGATGACTCCAGCTTTTAGCCTCATTATCTGGACGGACAGAGCCAACAGAGAGAGGTTGGGGAGCCAAAGGGGACTGGTTCTGGGACCTGTTATGTCCGAGGTGCCTGAGAGATCCCTACATGGAGACATTGAGAAGACAGTTGGATCTATGGGTCTAGAGACGGGAGGGATCCTGTGTGGACATCTAAATACAGAGGTCATCCGCAGATGATTGAATTAAGACCAGGAGCACTAAAAGGGTATGTGAGAATTCAGGGACTTGGTGTAGAAAGATTGCTTGTAGAATCATAAATCAAGGCTGGCAGCAGGAAGCTGTAGTCCTGGGACTGTGGCTGGTACATGAATGAATGAGTAAAGTGTGCACTGATGCGGCCATTTCAGAGAGCAGACTTTGGAAAGAAGTGGGCAGGGCGTCATGAAATAACCTGGAAATTTACTAAAATCAGACTTAGCATAATGCGTGGCAGGAGAAGTCAGACTAACAGCATTTGAGTAGAAACCACTAACATTTTATTGAGCACCTATTATGTACAAACGCCTTAAAGCTGTTATTTCATTCCCATCCTCACAGCTCAAAGAGGTAGGCGCTCGTATCTCCATTTTAAGGAAACAATAAAGGCAGCACACACATAGGGCCCTTGGGGGGGGGGGCGCGGGAGGGGGGCGGGGGGAGTAGAGCTGGTAGGAGAATGAGCTGCTCTAAGCTGGAAAAATCCCTTTGCCCTTAGCCCAGGGCCGGCCCACAGGAGACACAGGCCAGACATGAAGACAGGAGCACGGGTGGCAGGAACTGGTCTAAAGCCGGCAGATGAAATTCTCGAGGGCCTTATGTGGACCCAGATGTCTGCGTGGGTGCAGTGTGGGTCTGGTGTGGGTCTTGATTCCTTGTTCTTGGGGATCTTGGGCCCAAGGGCCTCAAGCTAGATTCTCCTCTTCCTCGCCAATGGGGCTGGGCAGCCAGGGTGGAGCCGGCCCTCTGGGTGCGGGCATGGACACTCTGGTGAAGGGCTCAGCGTCCAGCCCAGGGGCTGGCGGCTCTGGCCCAGTGTGGGGCTCGGGTTCCGGCTCTCGAAGTCCCGAGTCCAACAGTAGGTCCCCACAGTCACCCTCCGGGGCTACGCCATCGAGGGTGCTGGTGCCCGCGCAGCTGGCAGCTGTGGACGCCTCGGACACACCGCTGTTTTTGCGGCGCAACACGGACAGGCGCCGGCCCAGCTGGCTTCCTGCAGCCATGCCCGGGCCCACCAGCGGGAGGCGCTGCCAGAAATCGCCATGCGCCTCGCCCAGCGGCAAGTCCGTGCCGTCGGGCCGCTCAAACTGCATGTCCTCCTTGGCCAGCCTGTGGGATGGACAGGGGGTCAGCCCTGCTACCTCGCCTCTCTCCTTGGTTGGCAGGTGGGACCGAGGCCCACTGCTTTTCCTGGCTGCACTCACCCATTTGTCTCGCTCATCCCAAAAGATTGTGGCCGCTCACCCAAGAGCCAGGCCTTGTCCTCTGGCTCTGCTCAAACTTAGGCCTCAAAGCCTTAGTTGTGGCATTGTATCGCCTATGGCCACCCATCCAGCCCTCACACACCTTAGCCCTTAGCTCTGACCCCAATTAGTGGCCTGATCCCAGACCTTGACCGCAATCACTCTACTCATAGACTTTATTTAGCTCTTAGCCCCAAAGTTCCAGTTTAGCCGTGAGCTCTGTTGTGGGGTCCCAGAGACCCCCCTCAGTTAGTCCCCACAGTGCCATAAGCCTAGCATCCAGCAGGCCCCCCCCCCCCCCCCCGCCCGCTGGCTCACGTGATGTCGAAGGTGGAGCCTTGGAAGGAGGGCTGCAGCCTCAGGAAGGCGGTGGCCGTGGTGTAGGGGGCCCTAGCCTCCACTGTGTCCCAGTACAGGTCCTTCTCCAGCATAGCCAGGTCATCGTACATCTCGTCCACGGCCAGCATTGACACCTGCAGCCGTGGACACGTGCTAGGCGGGGTAGCAGAGCACAGGCACCGAGGCCTGGGCCCTCAGGCGTGTGATGCCAAGGAGAGAAGGATGGTGCAGAGGAGAGGCCTGAGCAAGTCGTGGCAGGGGTGAGTGAGGCCAGGGCCACCTGGGGAGCCTGGGCCTGGGCTCAAGGGAGTCTCACCTGGAAGTTGCGGTCGATCAGAAAGTTGGTCTCAAAATCGTCGTCGTCCTCTCCAAAGGGGTTGATGAGCTGCTCTGCCACCTGAGTGGGGAGAAGGGAGGTAAGCAGAGACCTGAGAACCCCGCCCTCCCCACTCCCGGAGCCCAGGCTCAGGGCCCCAGCCACCTTGAGCCAGCCGACATAGAAGAAGAACTGCAGCAGAGTGAAGACGGGCACAAACAGGTCAAGGTTGTGGTCTTTGTAGCCCTGCGCAGGGTCTAGGAACTGGCGACCGATGACGCAGGCCAGGAAGTAACTGTACACGGCGATGGTCACCACCTGGGGGCAGCAGTGGCCAGGTCAGGGCTCTCCTGGCCTCGGGTTCTCGGAGAGACCAGGGCTAGGGGTCAGGAGTCACTGTGACCGGGTCTTAGCTGGTCCTCCATGTTCCCTTGAGACCAGTGCGTCTGAGGATGGGTCTCCGAGGAGGCACTGCGGGATTACCTGGGTGTAGACGAGGGGTATGCTGATCCAGTCGTAGTGAAAGAGCATCGAACACTTGCCCCGAAACACAGTGAGCTCCTGCGGGCAGATGCAAGTACTGAGCGGGCCTGGCTGGTGAGCTCACACGTGGGGACTAAGTGTGGGTACTTGGGATGGAGGTGAGTGGTCACCGTGTGCTTCTGGGGGCTCCAGGGAGAGTATTTAGTGGTGAGTGTACCCCGGGGGGGGGGGGGATGTATAGCTGTGCACCTGGGGGCTGCTAGGGAAAGGTGTTTGGAATCGGCCTCGTGGGAGGCGCGTGGCTCGTCGTCTGACGGTATAATGCCTCTGGTGTTTTGTATGAATGGCCAGCTGGCGAGCCCACCTCCAGCAGCAGTTTAAGGGCGCTGTTGTCCCGGATGCGGCCCTCCCGCCGGGCCTGTGCCGCCAGGTTAGAGAACCAGACGCAGGGCACCCAATACTTGTTGTAGGATGAGTTCAAGTTCTCAAACTTCTTGCGCTCCTCGCGGGTCATAAACCCTGGAGGGGTGAGACGGCGGAGGGGGGCGGGTCACTCGCCCCGCCTTCTCGTCCTTACCCGGGTCACTCGCCCCGCCCTCCGCCCTCCGCCCTGCCCGGCTCCCGCGTCCAGCCGGGGGCTCACCAGCCTCCACCACGTGGTCGATGGTGGGGAAGCGCTTGAAGACCGCGGTGCTGACCGAGCGCAGGATGAGCACGGCCGAGAGCCCCGCGTAGCGCATGAGCGTGCGCCGGTAGAGGCGGCCGCGCTCGTCGCGTCCGTGCACCGTGCCCGACACGATGCACATGAGCGCGTCGGGCAGCGGCATGCAGAGGTACTGGTTCCACCAGCGGTGCACCACCAGGTTCACGTAGAAGCCTGCGGCAGAGCCGGGAAGGGGCGCTCGGTGGCGACACGGGGCAGGGGCTTGTGGGCCCAGGTTGTGGGAAGAGGAGTGACATGGAGCCCGCGTCCGCAACACCCGGCAGGCTGGCCACCCTGACCCCGCGGGGCCACCTGGGCTGGGAACTCGGGGGTCTAGCCCTGAGGTCAGAGTGGATCGAGCAGCCTGGGTCACTCTGGTTACCTGGGAGTCACCTGAGATGGAGCCTGGGGTCTCAGTGCGGAGGCAGAGGCAACAGGTAGCCCCTGGGCCAGAGACATACGAAGGGGTTGGGCACAGGATCCATGTCGGGGCGTAGGCTGGTAACCCCACCCGTGTGTGTGGGCAGAGCATATGGGAAGGAGGCTGGGGCCAGGACTTGTCAGAGAAATACTTCGTAGGCTGGACTTGGGGGGACAGAGTCATGTGAGGTCCCTGGAGGAGGCTCCTGGGCCAGGAGGGGGGCGGGCACTAGTAATCTATGCAGACACAGGCGCAGTCCCCGAGGTGGCCAGGGGCAAACCCTCGGGTGACATGGAATTCTCAAGGGGCAGGTGACCAGGTGATGTCCAAGGGGCTACATCTGTCTAGAGGACGCAGAAATGGGGGTCTGTGGGGCTGGATTTGAGGGGCGTCCCAGAGAGGCAGGAGTGGGGGGTCCCCAAAAGGCATGAATGGTTTCTGGGGGCGGGGGATGGGGCACAGGGAACTCGAGCGCGAACACACCGAGAACGAAAGAGAGGGGGATGAGGCTGGCGTACTGGTCGCAGTAGATGACCAGCTTCTCGAAGTAGCGCTTGTGGCCTTCGGTCAGCACGAAGCTGCGGGCAGGGGTGCGGGGTCAGGGGCGAGCTCCCTCCCCGGCGCGCGCTCTCCTCCCGCTCCGTCCCGCACCCCGGGCCCGCACGCCGCGCCGCCGGGGCCTCACCGATAGGCCGCGCTCAGCGCCATGTAGAGTCCGAGGAAGCAGAGCAGCTCCCGCCACAGGAGCTTGTAGATGCTGCCGCGCCACAGCAGCAGCAGCTTCGAGAAGCCGCCGAAGCGCGCGTTGGCCACGCGGGCCGTGTAGGTGACGGTCATCGCCGCGCGCCGGCCGGTCCGGCCGGAGGAGGAGGGATCGGACCGACCGCCCACCTGTGGCGGAGGAACGGGGTGGGGGGACCGGAGGGAGGGCTGGGGGCCACGGGCGGGGGTGAAGGTGGACGTCTGACTCAGCTCAGCGTGCCCGCCCCGGCCCAGCCACCTCCCCGGTCCAGCCTTCTCCCAGCCTTGCTCAGCCCCTTCTCCCGCTGCCGCCCTCCCCAAGCCTTCCCCCGCAGGCCACCCTCTTTCTGGACTCCTGCACCCCACATCTTGCGCCTACCTCCTCAGGCCCTCACCAGCCTCCACCTCTCAAACTCTTGAGTCAACCGAGTTGCCTTCTACCCCATCCCATCCCATCCCCTTACCTGGGCTGCATCTGCAGCTTCCCCTACTCCCGGAGTCCCCAGTGCCTCCGTTTCTGGGTTCTCAGGCTGCCCCACCCCATTCCTTTCTCAGATCCCACCTGTCCCCCCTCCCCTAGCTCCCAGTCTCTGCCCTTCCTCCACCCCTGCACTCCCGTTTGAAGCTCTAGGAAGCCATCCTCAAGCCTCCAGGCCCCCAGGTTCCCTCCTGCACCCACCGGCCTCAAGCTGGCCCCTTGCCCTGCACAGCTACCCCGGCCTCCCACCCTCCACTTAGCTATCCTTCCCCTTCTTCTGGGTCTCCTGGATCTGTCCTCTTTTCATTCTCTAGCCTTCCAAGCTCTTCACTCCATGCTTTGAGGGTTCTGAAGGATTCCTGCCTGATTCCTGCCCACAAGCCCACCTGTCCTCAAGGTCCTCTATTCCCCTGGGCCCGGGGCCCTACTCACCTGATGGCAGGCGCAGGACACACAGGCACAGGGACTAGATGGGCAGGTGGCTTCAACGTTGGGTGTAGCTTAAGCCAGACCCTGGAGTGGGAGGGGGCTGAGTGGGCGTGGATAGTCCCTCCCTGGCCCGCACCCCTGGACTGCAGCCTCAGAAATGTGTAGAAGTCTGGCCAGTTTGTTACCTGGAGCAGGGGGAGAAATCCAACCAGCCTCCCTCGCTCCTCCCTGTCTCTCTCCCTGGCAGTCACTGGCAGGTCAAAGGGATCTTGGACCCAGAGCTGGGGGAGAGGGCGGGGACTGTGTCCTTCCCAGTCTCACACACACACACACACACACACACACACACACACACAGCTCAGTGGGGCTGGTTCACTCCATAGTCACCTGTAATCATACTGCCACAAAGATGTACTGTACTTAGAAACATACATCAGAGACCCAGGCACAAGTTCAGCTTCCCTCAACATGGACACACACCAGCTAAGCGCAGACCCCACCCAGAGCCCAGAGAGTCTTCACACACAGCCACATACCATCCCACAGAGGGTGGTGGCGCACATTTATTCCTGGTTTCCCTGCACAAAGATGCACCCGTGGTCACACAACAGATGAGGGGACGCCTGCCCTCTACACGGCTGCACATGCTCCTGGGGGCCTCAGATCCGTCAGTGTTGCGAGGACACACGCATACAACAGAGACCCGTCCTCCACAGCCACAGACCCTCAACAGTCCCATCCAGACAGGGTCATCCCTTAACTCATGAAACTCGCCTGCATTTGCACATTGATGAGACCCCCCTCTCTAATGCCCCCTTAGTGGGTGTGCAGGCACCCCCGTCCCCCATAGACACACCTCAGATCTCAGACCCTCTCAGCATTGTCGTGAACACACAAGCTTGGGGACACAAGAATGTATCCCCACATTTGCATGGAGGCAGGAGAGATGTTCCCCCTTCACAGACACCTACAAAGTGGACACTCCTAGCCCGGCACAAACACTCAGCCTCCCTATCCCATTCCCCAAACACACAGCCTGGTGTGGGAGGGGTGATAGCTCTGAGGTCCAGACCCTGGGCCCCTCCAGTCCACCTTGTACACTAGGAATGTGGATAGCTTTACGAGGCTCCACCCGGAAGCCCTGTCAGCCAGGACACCTTGTTCCAAGCCTGGCATATGTCTGCCCCGCCTGGGGTAATTAGGAACTGGCCCAGGCTGGCTACCCTCAAACCTGCTCCTCGCTGTCCAGCTGCCGGACAGCCCATAAAAGTGGATGCAGGTTGGCACTGCTAGCTGTTGGCCCCAGGGCGGGGGCCGGGGGCAGGGGACAGGCTTCAAGTTGATGCAGCTCCATTCCTGACCAGGGGCCCCCACTCCCTAGGATGTATATTTATACACACTGCAGCCAGCTTCTCCCCTCCCCACTCACCTCCCTCCTCCAGTCTACAGGGTCCCCACACACTTCTGACAGCTGGACACCAGCTGGGCTAGGGGCAGGCTGCCCAAGCTAGCTCACAGGCTTCATTGTAACAATGAATAATAACATTTGTAAAGACGTTACTTATTTCATCTCACCGAGTCCTTACAAGCAGGCTTATGAAGTTGGTGTTCGTCATTCCCACTATCTGATAGGGAAACTGAGGCTCAAATGACACAGTCCTTTGACGGCACAGCTGGGATTTGAACCCAGGTGGTTCAGCTGGGAGCCAGGGGTCTTTGCCACTGTTTACAAATGCCACCCCAACATGCCCACACCCGCTTGTGCACACCCAGTACAACCGAGTCCAGGACACGTTTGGGCTTGTGGCTGGGCTCCCCTTACATGCACGCACACCCTCACACACCCAGACCCTGGGTGTGCACAATTTGAACACTTCCTGACTCATGCGTGTCCTCAGGTACGCATTTCCCCCACCCCCATCCAGCTCGGGCTTGGAACCTGCAAACATGAGGTCATGCCAGTGCTGGGTCCCCCAGGTGGGGACGAATGTGGCTGTCCAGGCAGTTGCAGAAAGAGGAGTGAAGGGGATAAGGGGGCCCCCTGGATGCCTTCCAGGGCCAGGTGAAGTTGTCCCATGGCTCTGTGAATGGCCACACTTGCCTCCATTTTAGAGATGAAGCTCAAACTAGGAAAACATGAGGCCACTCAGTGAGATGGCTCTACAGTTAGGACTTCAGGGATACCTTTGGCCTGAGTCCTCTACCATCATGTCACCTAATCTGTTCCTGGTTGTAACTGTGCTGGGTGGAGCGAATTCCATCCCAGGGGGCAGGAATTGGGGGGTGGAGACTGTTAATCCCTAGTCTGGCCAGCCCAGCCTCTGCCCAGGGTGCCCACTAATTTCCAAACCAAACAGCAGGTACTGGGCCGCTGCCTGCCTAATCCGCTCCCCACCCGCCTGAGGTACACCAATGGGCCTCCTGGTTCCCACACCCCTTGAGCCTCAAAGGAAGGGGGTATATGCCAATTCAGGCGTTATGGCAGGGGCACCCCTACCCATACAGAGCTAGAAAAAGCACCCCCTTACTGAAGACATCCACCTTCCAAAACAAACATATATCTTTGCTATTGCCATAACAAACACATCTTTGTTAGTCTGTTGTGACTGCATCCCTCTAGCTGTGACACTGTTGTGCAGAGTACAACCTGTGCAACTGTTCATGGAGGCGCTGACTCCAAAATCCTTGTATCAATACCCACAGTAGTTTAAGATCATTTTATTGAGAAGCGAGAGGCGGGGAGAGGTGAGGGGTAGCTACAGCCACCCCAGCCCCACCAGGGGGAACAGACCCCCTCCCCGCCTCCCACCTCAAGTGGCTCCCCCTGTACTCTGGGGGGACTTTGTGCAAACTCTGCCCCGGTGGGGTGGAGAGTGGGTGGAAATGGTAGCGGCTGGGGCTGGCAGCAGTGCTACTGGGTGCTGGGCGGCTTGTAGGGCTCCAGGAGGAGGGCAGAGAAGGTGTTGACCTTGTCCGCCCCCCGCACCTCATGGGGAAGCAGAGGCAGCTTCACAATGTGGAAGTCTTCATACAGGTCCTCCATCTGTGGCCGGGGCAGGGGGCAGAGGACATTGGTCAGGGGCCTGGCTGCAGGCAGGGGCAGAATGTGGGCAGATCGAAGGGGTTGAGATGGGGGCCTCCCAGGGTCAGTCTTCATAGGGTCACAGGCAGGAGTGGTGCCAGTGGGGTCAGAGTTTCCAGGGCTGGACCTCTGGCTCCCCAGGGTCAGAGGTATCCAGGCCAGGCCAGCCAGATTCCTTCATGGCCAGAATTAGGGGGAAGGGACTGAAGTAGGGGTGAAGAGCAGGAGGCTGGGGCAGAGGTCAGAGAGAAGATGGAGCAAAGACTCAGAGTGCAGAGTAAATGGCTGGGGGTGCCATGGTTAGGATGGGCCGGGTCCCCACTGCCAAGACCAGAGGTTTGAGGGCTGGGTGTATGGCTGGGCATGCACACCTGGTCCAGGTACTTGGCCTGGATCTTATGGCGGGCCTCACACATCTTGCAGGGCTTCTCGGGGTCTGGGAAGACGAGTTGGTTGACAATGATGTTGTGTGTGTCGATCTTGCATTTGGCCAGCTCTTGGATCAGCCGCTCTGTCTCGTACAGAGACAGGAACTCGGCGATGCACACACAGATGAAAGTCGTCTGCTCCTGCAGGATGTGAGAGGACAGTGAGGGCCAGGTGCTGGTCCCGGAGCCTCTCACTGTCTATGTGCACCATGACTCACAGGATCCTTGAACTGCTCGCTGACAGAGCGGATGACAGGCAGCGTCTCTTCCAGCTTGGAGGCCAGCTGGTCTGCGTTCATATCCCCTAGGCCCAGCATGTTGCACATCTGGGGGGAGGACATGGGAGGGCTTGAGGCTTACCTGGGGCCATTATACCTCCTAGGTCGGGGGCCTGCTAACCACCTCCCAGTGGTTAAAAGCCTGGGCCCTTGAACAGACCACAGGGGGCAAATCCCAGCTCCGCCTCTTTGGGGGACTACAGCCAGGTGGCTTGACCGGAATGCTGAGTTTCCCCATGTGTAGACCTTACCTCCAAGGGCTGGTATGCTAGATGAACTGAAACATGTCATGTGCTCAGAACAACGTCTGGCACAAAGTAAGCGCTCCACAAATGTGACTGATCTGGGACACAGGTACCAAAGGGGGATCACACGCACCACCTTGGAGGTGGGATGTGTGTAGAAGTGGGGCTGTCATGTCATCATGCTAACAACAGGGACACTCGCATGCTCTCCATTTGACAGACAAGGAAGGTGAGGCCCAGAGAGATGAAGTGACTTGCCTTAGGTCACATTAGAATGCAAAACATTTGAACCTGGGCTGTCTGGCTCTGGAATATGTGCTTTCAAGCTGTCTGGGGCACTCAGCAGGTAGGGGCAGGGACACCAAGACCCCCATAATGAAGATTCCCCTCCCCCCCATTAGGAATCGTGGATCCAGAGTTGTGTGAGAGAAAGGCTTTTGTCACTGCACATCTGGGGGCCTGGGGACTGGCTCCCACTCAGGGGACACCTGGATGCCCTGGGGCCCTGCCTGCCTGTGAGATGAAGGGGCTGATCTGGTTCTTGATCTGCATGAGGCGGCCTAGGCCCCGCTCCACGATGGTGGGGAAGTTGAGCAGCCTCAGCGTGTGGCCTGTGGGCGCCGTGTCAAACACCACCACTGAGAAGTTCATGCCCTTCACCAGCCTGCGGGGAGATGAAGGTCAGGCCCGCTCTGCTCCCTCTTCCACCCCAGTCCCAGGCCGCACTAGCCTGCCAGGCCTGACCTCATGACCTCTGCATAGCTCATGGCCTCGTCAATGCCTGGGAAGGCGCTCATGGCCTCCTGCATCATCTTCTTGCCCATGCTCAACATGTTGTCCTCCTCGAAGAACTCGTCAGGCAGCTCTGCCACGCCCAGGCTGGGGTCAATCTCCTGGGGGGGGACACAAGGGATCGAGACTCAGGCTGCTTCTGCTACTCCCAGGGCCTTCTCACCTGGGGGGCACCAGGGCCAGGGGAGCCCGAAGAGGGCCCCATCAGGGAAGAGGCTGGGGAGGCCCCCAAGGTGCCATAGCCCTCCCTCAGGCATTAAGGTCTTCCGACTGCTCAAAGGGTCAAACAATTTTAAAAACAGATGGAAAATTGCAAAATTTTTGTGATCAGTGTCCACAGAGGGAAGCCAAAGCCCTCTGCAGGGCTTGCACTGGCTGTTCCCCCACCCGGCCCCTGATTGCTTCCAGATTATTCTCTAATGTGAGTCTTCCCTCACCATCTCATCTAACAGGGCAGACACAGTCCTCACTGTCCCACCTGCCTTTCTCCTTAACATCCAGCCTTCCTTCACATGACACACTCATCACATTTCCCATCTGTCTCCCCACCCAGAATGTCAGCCTCCTGAGGACACCAGGAACTGTCTGCACACAGGAAGTCCTCAACATAGATGTGGAATCCACAAAGATATGACCATCCTTGGGGACTCTGGCCAGTCCTGACTTGATGCCTCCTTCTCTATCCTCCTATGTCACCTCTCCTTGGTGACTGCACAGGTCCTGCGATGAAGTCCCCCTCACTGGCCTCAGAGGTCCACTCCCCTGCATAGAGCTTGTGTATCCATTGCCCGACCCATCACACCCAGTCACACCCTTGATGGTTATTCCTAGTCACCGGGTCACCTCTGAACTCACATACCCCATTCTCTGACCTGGGCCTCCTTGCCTCCCGCTTCAGTTATTACTATTTTAAAATATATTTTTATTTATTTCAGAGAGGAAGGGAAAGGGAGAGAGATAGAAACATCAAAGATGAGAGAGAATCATTGATCGGCTGCCTCCTGCAGGCCCCACACTGGGAAGGGAGTCCACAAACCATGCATGTGCCCTGACCGGAAATTGAACTGTGACCTCCCAGTTCATAGGTCGATGCTCAACCATGGAACCACACTGGTCCGGCTGTTATTTTTTAAATATGTTTCTATTGATTTCAGAGAGGAAGAGAGAGAGAGAGACAGAAACATTACTGATGAGAGAATCATCTATTGGCTATCTCCTGCAAGCCCCCTACTAGGAATCAGGCCCGAAATCAGGCCCTGCCTGGGAATCAAACTGTGACCTCCTGGTTCATGGGTCAATGCTCCAGCACTGAGCCACGCCAGCTGGGCCTGCTGCAGTTATTTAAACCTCTTTGGGTCACCTCATTCCCTCTCCCCTGACCCCAGTTCACTGTCAGTGCCCCTCTTGGCCGGCATCCTTACCCAGCCCAGGCTCCAAAGGTTGCCTCTACAAACACGCCCCCTTCCCTCTGTGGTTGCCAAAATCCCCATCCTGGTTATTCCTGGGTCCCTGGTGTGGCCACACTGAGGTGAACACGAGGGGAGCACACCTGACAAATAACTCCCACCTGCTCCCCATTCCCAATCACAAACTCCAACGGCACCCAACAGCCAGACCATCCACTCTGGCGAGTGTTTATGTCCCATCTTATGCCTCCTCAACCCCCTTCCATCCCAGTCACCCCGTGCTCTCTGCTGAGACTTGTGCCTCACCTGGGCCTGAGAGACAAAGAAAAGCCACTGGCCGTCAACACCTTATCCCTTCCCCCCAGGAAATGCCCCAGGCCCTCCACCCTGCCTCCGCATCCCTGCCCTGGAGAGTCCCTGTAAGAGGTCTGTGCGCTGTATGTAGCTCCCTCCCACACGAGGACAGTCCTCTGTCAGCACCCTCACTCCTTCCTGCAACACTACTTGTCCCTCCCTGGTAAAGTATTTGCACTGGCAAACAAACATGCTCCAGCGTCTCCTTTCTCAAAAAAGCCCTCCTCAACCCCCCTTCCGTCTCCCTCCAGTGATGCCCCATTTCTCAGCCCCCATCATGGCGATCACCGTCTCCATTTCCACAGCTCACCCATTCCCGACAGCCTTTTGCCCCCACTCACCAGTGGTCTCTAAAACGGATGCACCTGCTGGAGCAGACAACCTCTTTCTGCCCAAGTTCCTTTGTCCTGGAGCTCAGGAGGCTATAACCTCTGTCTCGCCTCCCACCTCCCCGATGGCTCCTTCTTAGCCTCCTTCACTTCTGGACCCTAAATGCTGACATGCCCTCAGGTTGTCTCTGGGCTCCCTGTTTTCTCATATTCTCCTTTATCACACAGCTTTCAATACCACCCTCGGGACAGTGACCCCCAAATCAGTATCAACTTCCTCTGAGCTCCAGGCTCACACAGCTAAGCCACTGTCCTGTGTCCCCACTTGGATGTCCAGTGGGCACCGTGGATCCACTGTGGTCAAAATAGAATTCTTGACTTGTCCCTTCTAAACCTGCTTCTCTGCTAGTCTTCCTCATCCCAGCTGCTAGGGGCCAACCAAGAGATGTATTTAGCCCTAGACGGTTTGGCTCAGTGGATAGAGTGTCAGCCTGCGGACTGAAGGGTGCCAGGTTCGTTTCCGGTCAAAGGCACCCACCTCAGTTTCGGGCTTGATCCTCGGCCCCAATCAGGGAGCGTGTGGGAGGCAACCAATCGATGTGAGAGAGACACATTGATGTTTCTCTCTCTGTCTCTCCCCCTTCCTCCCACCCTCTCTTAAAGTAAAA